GCCGCGCTGCCGCGGGTCCAGGGCGCGCACGGCCGGGCAGCACAGCGCTTGCTTCACAGACGGTGTTTTGAGACCTAAGAGCTACAGGCCCTTCGCTTTAGCAGGCACTGGGAGACAAATGAGGGCAGGGGAAAGAAGATGCATCTAAAAACACAGCGGCACTTCCCCGCGGGTAATTCGTCCTTCACTGTAGACAGTGCCTTGGGATATATGCAAGCTTTCACTCTTTTTTTCTTCTTTTTAAAAAACAGCTCCAGCAATCCGATACCAGAACACAACCTGCTTTTAGGTTGCTGCTACAAGTTCAATGAACATCTTTTCTATAGACTTACTTTCTTGCTATAGGCCCTAGAGTAATCTCACTATTACTATAGTAACGCAGCTCCACAGGGTCATTCCAAGCTAGGGATGCAGCAGCAGAGTTACTGTCATTTTAGGACAGGCTGGGGAAAATGTACGCTAGAAGTTCATAATGAAGAAGTAACTTTTTCCAGTCTAAAAGGTGAATCTTCAGAAAGAGCTTGTCACTTTAACATGATCAAATCATGATAGCTGTTTGAAAATGGAGCTTTAATAACAGCTGCATTTTCAAAGGCAATATTTGCAAGTGGAGTGATGCAAGTTTTTACCTGTTTCCATATTTTAAAAAGTAAACTGCTGTGACAGTCAAAGCATTATAGAGGTGAATGTACATGCTTTAGTAGCCCTAGAGTAGGTAAGTTTTTTTTTTCCCCTGTGTTCTCAAACCAGTAGTGCTCTCCAACTGTTACTTTAGTTTGTGGGAGGGCACAGAATTCTGTACAGGAAGGAGTTCTGTTATTTATCTGTGAAACTACAGCAAATATTGCAAGACACTGGTAACACATGTACCTTAACTACATCAAATGGTACACGTTTCTCTAAAACTAGTTGCACACAAATAATCCTTATTTCATACTCGTTCTTAGTATTTAGTATTAGAGCATCCAGTCATAAAATAACATCATTACAAGTCCTGTATTCTCATTTTCACATTATACATTTTCTTACAGGCACATACGTATATACAGTTTCTATCTCCAGAACCAGCTCTATTCCAAAACAGCCCTTCTGAATTAAGAGACTCTGGATACATTTATAGTGCAGATTTTGACTTAGTATTTCTTCACCATAGTTGCTGATGCTGTCTGAAGTGCTAAATCCATTAATTCTCCACGGCTCATCCAAAGAGTCAGAACGATGGTAGTGTGAATCCAGCTTTGCCGATGAACTTTACAAAAAAAAAAAAAAAAGTAATGCAGGTCCACAGGGTCATTCCAAGGTTATTTTGGAGAGAAATGAAAGCTGGGAATACAGCAGCAAACTTACTGTCTTTTTAGGACAGGCTGGGGAAAACATACACTAGAAGTTCATAATGAATAACTTTTTCCAGTTTAAAAGGTGAATTCCACTGTGTCAGAAATGAATGGGTCAAAACACAAAGCCATTAATCACAAGATACTATTTAAAACAATCTTTTCGATATACAGCATACTTACTCCACTTGAAGCTTTGTTAAGAGGAAAAGCTAAGTTAATCCCATTCTGCCAGTAATCATGCAGAGAAAATAGCTTTTCTGGTACCTCTCAAACAAGTTAGTTATGTTTTTACATATTCATGTAATTTCACAGATTTTTGTGACTGCCACCAATAGTGAGCTAAAGTCCACTGATACACTGACACATCCAAGGTAATCGCATGAAGCTATGTATAAAATATTATTTCTGGTATCTGTCCATCTTCTATTGATGTACCATTATTGTTACCTGGTGAACTGTAAAAGACAAAGCATGTTTTGCTAGCAGTAGGAGATTCATGAATCACTTTCTTCAATCCTTTTGTTCCATAGTGGGAATCAGGACCCTAGAAACATCAGAAGAGATTAGCAACCGAAAGGAAATGTGCAGCAAAACCCATAAAGTGTTGCAGTTCAAAGTCTATTGACTTAGATTATTATAGTTAGTATAAAATTACTGTATCCATAGCATCTTACGTTACATAACACAACACGGACAAGAAGCAAAAGCCCAGAAGTCCACATAAAAAAAAAAAAAAGGTTCTCAAAGTAGACTTAAATCATTTGGTTTTTACCTTACTAGTAACGAGTAAATGTTTTCTAGTATTTCTCCTTTTCATACAGATTGTCCGTACCCTCACTTAGTTCTCTGCCTCAGCTTCTTTTAAATGTGCAGTTTTTTTTCCAAACTACTCAACTTTGGTTTCTGTATAGGGAATTAGATTTAAAAGAATACTAATTTTTAAAGATTTTTGGATAAAAAATTGAACGAATAAATTTGTCTTTAACATTAGGAGGAGCCATTCCTAAAACAAATCACTTTTTCCTATATTTCAAGCACTAGTATGTAAAAAATGATAAAGCTTTCGTTTTTCTTGGATATAGCTAGTGGCTGGAATATCCTTGATATAAGAAATCAAACTTAAAACTTTGATACAGAGAGCTGCCAGATTAAATATTGTAGGTAGTGCTTTCGCCCACCCAGGACTAGTGACTTCCATTAGGACCCATTCCAACTCCCACGCTGAGCCAGAAAATGGGAAAACAAAAGGAGAAAAACTGAAGATAAATTAGCATCCTCTCCTCTCTTTCACTCCAGTTATGAAATCTGTGCTGCGGCACAGAACAGAGACAGCACAGTCTTACAAGTTATCACAGAATTTAACTGCAGCCTTCTTTAGCATTGAACTTCAATTGAAGACCTAGAAGACACTCCTCCATCAGAAAACAAATACAGGTTAGACAACATCTTGAGTCAAAACAGTAATTTCTTCTATACTGTTAGGCATTCTTACTTTCAGTGTAGCACAAGCTGTGTAGCAAACTGTTGGTAAAATCTCTATAGGTTCTTTGAACATAACTCTGAACGTATTGGCAGTTCCATCGCAACTAAATCCAGTATCATTTTGTCCTAGTGTCTGATTCTTCTCGTAATCAATTATCTGCATAAAAACATGAAAATAATATTTTTAGGTTTACAAGCTTGAGAAAGATTTCTGTTATATGCATATCAGAATATTACAAGTGAACACTTGCCTACTCTGCCCAGTTTTAGTGGAAGGAAAGTGCAACCTCAGAACTGGAAGGCAGGTATAGTTTCCCAATAATACCATTACAATTCACCCAGCTGTGTGCTGAAGCACAACTTGTAAGTTTTTACAAGGGCTGTCCATCTGCAGGCTGAATTCAGCCCACAAACACCGCACTCCAGTCAGGTTATAGTCTTTGCTTGGGAGGAAGGAGATGGAAAACAGTTGTTAGACCTTCAGCTTTTGACCTTCACAGACTACACACAATCCTGTACTTAGATTTGCTAATCTCTGTTTTACATCTACATAGCCCACATAAGAAGTGCAAAACTAGTATATAGGCCCTGCCTCTTCACTGGCTTTGGCTAATTTAGGAAAACAAGTTTTCACAAATAACGTAAACAGACCATGATACACACTGAGAGGAAAACTTGTACTTCAGTGTTTCAATGATCAACAACCCCACTACCATACAATTATATATAAATATTTTTTAATTTTACATTCAGTCTAAAAATTACACTTGGATTACATACTCTGTTTCTTTTCCCTTCAGTTGTAGTGGAGAACAGAAATGACTAAGACGTGCATTTGTCATTTTGGATAGCAATTCCTGATCTGTGCCGCTGAACCTCTCTTGCAGAAGTTGGACAGCAGAGCATTAGAGTAACATGAATGAATGCATCTTGTGATTACTGCGCTAACAAGAATCCAGTCAGCTTTAATACTTGATTATTACATTACTATATAATTTTAATAGTGCACAAATGAGACAGTACATCTTGCCTAAAATAGGGCTTCAAATTGTGTTTTTTATTAGCCACAAGCAATAGAAATACTAGAGATTATAATGCTGAAGTCATACACCACACAAAAGATGCATTTGTAATATAAATTATCACTATCTTAAGACAAGGATAAAGTGTTTACAACTTTCTCTGTAGCTCTCCCAGTGCTTCATGCAGGTTCAGGAAGAAAGGTCGAGAGGCAGAATTTAAACACCTGGCTGAAAAGACTGTGTGACAAGAAAGGTTTCAGATTCATCAGGAACTGGGAATACTTCCAGAATAAAGGGAATCTGTATAGGATGGATGGCCTTCATCTGAACCACAGGGGTACACTAGCTTTTCAGTTTGGATCAGGAGTGTGTTTTTCAAGTGACTCTTATCATTCCCACTTAACATGCTCTGGTTTGCCTTGAAAGAACTAAATTCTTTTCAGATGAAATAAATCCAGAAAACATGCTGGGGGAGCACACCAAATGCTTTTCATCTGCTAACAGGAATTTAATCCAGAGGATCAAACAAGAGTTAATACAAAGTAAAAATCCCAAAATATGCACAGTGTAGCTGCTGGGTCTTCAGTACCAACTGTTTTGTTCTAAAGATCTATTCCTAGTGCACTATGCTGCCTATGTACATAGGTGTAGTTTGAGAAAACCAAACTAACGGCATTTCAAATCAAGGAATTTGCAAGTGAGCTTTCAAACTCAGGAATGTGCAAAAACCAACAGATTCCTTCGAGACCTCATCCCAGATACATTCTCCTTGGAACATCATAAGAGAGAAGACATAACATTCCTTCATGAAAAACAGACACAAAATTCTTATTCTTAAGCACAGGATGGTCAGAGAATGGAAATAACCTAATAGGAAACAGAAGGTGCCTAGAAGATTTTAAAAAGATGCCTAGAAATGAACCAAAGGAACAGTTTCAACAAATGCTAGAAATCTGTGGAATAAGATGGGCTAAATGAAGTCTCATACTTTTTTTTCTTTTCCTCCCCACAAAATCTCCCATACACCTCATATATCACATCAATAAGATGCTGTAATACCAAGTTACTAAACACACAGGACAAGAGTAAAACTGAGCTCTCAGAGCGTTAGTACCTGTTAGCTTAGAATCAAGCCAAAACTAATTGCAAGAAATAACAGAATAAGTATGGACTTTCAGTCCATGCTTAAAGGAAACATACAGTGCTGGATCAGTATTACTGCTCATTTAACTAGAAGACAATCCTGACAGGAAATAGAATTTTAGTGATGACTTAAATTACCCTCTCAGACTGGACAGATGTCATGCCAGGACACGAGGCAGGGAGGACATTTTTAGATGCTATCACTGACCATTTCATGAGCTTACATAGCAATTGCTCAGTAGAAGGAAATGCAATCCTTGATTTGGTACTGAGTGATGAGCAGGATCAGATTCAAAATTTCATAATGGAAACACTATGTAACAGTGACCATAATATACTTAAAGAGTCAACATTCCTACATGAGCAACCAAAACAAATCAACCACAGTTACGCTAAACTTCAAAAAGAGAAAAATGCAGAAGCTTGTTGAAAAGAAGCTAAAAAGAACAAACTAAAAGAATCAAATCCTTACAGGTAGCACACAGACTACTTACTGAAGGACATCACACTCCAAGTACAACATCAGTACATTTCACTTATTAGAGGAGGCTTGAGAAAGGGGAAAGAGGCTGGCATGACTAGACAACAAAAGGCTATATTACTAGAAACAAAAAAGGGCATCCTATGGAAAGATGAAGTTTTATCGAGATAGGTTCAAACCAACAGATTAAAATGTAAAAAATGTAATTAAGCAGGCCAAGAGAAGGTTTGAGAAACAGCCAGCTGAAATGCTTCTTTCAACGCAGCAGTAGCAGAAAGCCCCACACACTATCTGGTGGGGTAAACACCATCAGAATATACAACGAGCAACAACAAGTTAAGGTCTTCACACAGAAATCGAAAGACCACCACCACAAATTAATCATTTTTCAGCAGAAGGACCTGAGGAGATCCCCATGGTGGAACTATGTTTTCAGTAAGCCTAAAACTTAAGTAACTACAAAAGCAGTTATGGTAACAGTAACACGCAACCTCCCACCTAAGACTGAAGAGGTAGCAAACAAGACGTCAATCTTTCAAAACAGCTGTAGGTCTGGGCAGAGACAAGCCTCTAAGGCCAATATGTCTAACAGGCAAGCTAAGAACATAATACACACCCTATTGGGTCAGACAACTGGTCTGTTAGGTCCAGCGTGCTCTGACAGTGGCAACAGAAGATGCTTCTGATAGACAACGTCCGAGTCTGAACTCTACTGTCCGTTTCCCCAGCACACACAACTGTTCTTCTAGGGTGCTACGGTGTACATCCTCCTTCTATTCCTTTTGGAATCTGTTAAAGAACCTGCTGTTTTTGAATGAATTTGTCCAAATGCCACCAGGTTAAACGGATATCCATCTCCTGTGGTAACATGTTTAGTATCCTCTGTATAAAAAACACTCATATTTGTTTTGTTCTCCTGCTATTCTCAGTAAGAGCGTGCTAGTTCCTCTATTGTGGGATTTGCAGAACAAACAGTTCTGCATTTACCTTGTCCATTGCCTCTGTGATTATGGAAGTACTGATCATACCTCCCCCTTAGCCTTCTCCTCTACAAATTGAAGAGTCCTAGCGTTTTTGGTCTCGTCTCATAAAGGAGCAGTTCTATCCCTGTAATCATTTTAATTGCTCCCTGTAATCATTTTAATTACTCCTTTCTCTACCTTCTAATTCTACTGTGTGAGACCAGGACTGCACACAGCACTCAACATGTGGGCACACCTGGCTTTCATACAGCAACATTAACGTCACCTTCTATCTTGTTTTCAGTATCTCCCTGATGACACAGAACCTGGCTTTTCTGGCAACCATTACATGTTGTGTCACTGATTTCAGAGAACTGTTGATGACAAACCCAAGATCTCTTTCCTGAATTGTGCTGCCTGAACTACTAGAAACTTCAATAAAGTGCAGACTTAGTGCCCAACGAACAGAGCATAAACTTGTGAAACTCCTTTGCAGTAAGTTTACAGGAGTTCAAGGTTAGGCTGGACAAGTGTTCTGAAGCTAGATTCACTGGGGGCTACAAGAGACACCAAATCATTCTCAGGAAATTCCCTGCACTTAAAATAGTTGGAGGCCAGGAGGGGAAAGGGAGAAAAGTTTCACGTTGTTCTTACTTTTCTCTAGGCACCTGCTTATGACCACTGCTGGGATTCTTTGCCTAACGTATTGCTCCTACCCAATTCAAATATACACCAGATCTTTTGCAAGTACTTATCTGCATCCAGTGCAGTTTCTACACAAGCTATTTCAACAGAATATACTGTACCTGTATATTAACTTGATAATCTGTGGGTCCATGAATAGATCCATATAACCCAAACCCCACTATGGAAATTCTTCTATTTACTGTGAACCTAACAAGACAAGAGGCGAGAAAGAAATTTAAACAACTGTCCTTACAGTTACCTTATTCCCAATCAAGTAGAAAGGACACCTTTGGAAGAGTAGAGAAGTAAGCCTAAAATGACATTACATTAGTATTTTTTCAATATTTTTTTAATATTAGATTTAAATGGGAATATGTTTAAGGTATCAGTTTTGCAGGCTAAAGCTTTGCTAATATACAAAGATATTCTTGAATATTCAGGATCACTAAACAGCAGATAACAATATTCTTCTGAATCTCTCTGAAATAAAAGCAGATCAAGACTTGGTATTTTAAAATGGAATATGCAGCAAATATCCAGTCAGCAGAATGCTGTACTCTAGAATGCATTCAGCCTTCCAAAAGTTTGTTCTTTGCTACTTTATATTTTGCTATGTGTGGAACAGCCTAAGTTTTCTTTAAAAAAAAAAGAAAAAAAGAAAAAAAAAAGAAAAGATCAAACCTGCCCACACAGAACAGGCATGTTTGTTACTGTAGCTCATGCTCAAAGAGGCAGCAGTTGAGTAATGTTCCCTTTCTTTCCACAGTTCTCTGCCTCTCCTCCAAATAGTTTCAAAAGCCATACCTAATCCGATCACTTGTTCCACTGTAGCCCCAGCGACTCTCCACTTGCTGGAACCTGTTAATGCTGCATTCTTTTCCTCTAAGACAACATCTTGGTCGGTCAATATAATCTACTTTGGGCTTAGGATTGACAGTAAAATGCAGAAAGAGATTTACTACTTCCCGATCTGACAAGATTCCAGACTGAGCAGGACCTGTGAAAAGAAAAAACTTCTACGATGATTCTAAAAATTACTCCAATTTTTGCATTTAAACCACATATATTTGCAAACTGAAAATGACAATAACATTTTCCAGTGGCCAGAACATCACCTGCAGGATGATTTGCTTTAAGAGTACATCACATCTTTCATTAGTAGGATATTAATAACATAATAGAGTATTAAGCATCTAAACACTTGCAGATGAACAGTATAGTGCAGACATATGGTCTAACAGTAAGACAAAGAACCCAAACGCTTACCTGCTGCAAATTCTTCAATAGTCATTAGTGGAAAACGGATTAAGGAAAGAGCTCTTCCAAGCACCTTTTGTTTGTTTCCAAACGTCACAGGCAATTGTTGTCTTTGACATTCTGCTTCTGCCCAACGAACAACCGCTCCAAAGAGTCTACTTTCTCGAATACTAAGGGTATCTCTTTCTAGAACTGCACATAATGTGTCTAAAGAAGAGGTTAACAGATTTGGATCAGTATTCATTCAGATTAATAACCATTCTATACCTCTCGAGTAAGCTTAAAAGCTAAACACACATTAAGGACATTTACAACAAGACCTCAAAGATGAGACGATTTGTCTTATGCCTAAAATAAATCTCTGAATGGTATATAGACTCCAAACTAAAAAATCCTACCCTTCCTCCTGCTATGAACACAGTATAAGAACTGTTCCTAAGATTATGACTGCATATAATCTCTACAGCGACAACAAATATCCTGAAGAACTTCCATGGCTAGGGAAGATCAAAAGGGGAATTGCCAGAAGTAGCGATGAATTGCTGTAAGTAGAGTGATGAACACACACTATGAAAAAAAAAAAGTTATTCATGACAACACTGTCTTATTCTCATCTGTGTATCCACCTGCCAGTCTGGAGGAGCTATAGACACTAGAAACAGCAAAAAAAAAAAAAAAAAAAAAGAGAACACTTTTAAGGATACATGAAAGTGATATTAACTTAGAACTTGTTTCTTCATTCTTTTATCTAAAAGAGAACACAGTCCATTCCCTAAGAAAAACAGTCCCTACGGAGTTGTACTTTGATATTGCCAAAGTATAAGAAACTCCTTGGTGAGCATCAATTCCAATTAATAATACTGTGAAGAACCTCAAGAAATAAGCACTCTTTGCAAGTATAGGTGCAAGCTAATTCAGTAAGAATTGAAATAACTCCTTCAGAAAAGGCTCTCATTTATCATCTAAAGCTTGAAGGCAGAACAAAGGATGTGAGGCAAGGTATTCACATGTGTTTTTTACAAAAGCAAATTTTTCTGTATTATTTACTCATTATGGCATTTTTATGAGCAACAGATAGATACAAATTCTGTAGTGAATATTTAAGGTTTAGCCTGCTCTACTTTTCCTCTCAGTTTATGATAGAACACAAGCCTGAAAAACAGTGTTTTAAAATTCTCAATATCCTATCTTCTTCAGGAGATATTACGTGCCTCCAATTTGAGCAAGCCATATCTGCTGTCATAGAAGATAACACATCTGAAAGTCCCAACAGATTGAAACTTATTAACAGAGATGTACACTCACAGACAGTACCGTAAACCCACTGAACACAAGAGTTAACAATGATTTCGTGGTTTCTTTAAGCAGCTGGAATACCTGCCCTCTGTCTCAATTTCTGACACATCCTAACTGAACTGGAGTAAAAATCTTAGACGTGTATAACAACAATGGAATCTGGAACAATGGAAGTAACCAAATTTAAAACTGCTGGCTTTTCCTAAAAGATGAAACAGAAATCAGCAGTTTAGATTTTTTTTAATGGATTTCATAATTTGCACCTGATTTGTGCAACTCCGAATAGAGAATAACCATGTAGCAGCAAAACAGTACAGTTGCCTTCCGAACCGTAATACTTTGGACACAGTCAGTAACTTACCAATATCAATATCAGTAAAGCCTTCTGCACTTATTGCATCCATGGTACTTTTGTCTATCGTGTCAAGACAAAGACTTGCAAGCTGAGGTTCATCAAATAAACGAGCCTAGGAAGATAAAGAAATACCTCTTTGGTTACTCTGGTATTGCAAGCACCAAGTTATCAAATCACTAATCTTAATGAGCAAATATTTTTACTCTAGAATAGATTTAATTTTAATAATCTGATTTATCTAAGTACACCTTGTGTTTATACCTTAAAGGGCACTATAACTTTGTACTTTGAGAATTTAGGAGAATTCACTGCATGCAAGTTTGCCAAAACTAAAAACATAAGCAGGAAGGAAATATGATAACTATAGTGAACTGAAAAACAATATTAACAAAAAAAGTTACAATACTCATGTAAATACATTGGAGAGTAACTAGCCCTGTTTGAAATGTCCCAACACACTGCATATTAATTAAAAAAAAAAAAAACCAAGATCCTTTCCTTCCACATTAATACTACCAGATAAGAAGCCAGGACAAGTCTATAAAAATGCTAGCATAGAGCAATGACACGTTCTTATACATAAACTAGACCACGTCCCGGCTAAACCCACTGTGAAATGTTATTTAGTCATTTCTCTTGAAATATTAATTTTCACAGTAAATTAAAACTAAGCTTAAATTAACCTACCTGAGTAAGTAACATAAAAGCATTATCTGCTCTGAGGTGCTTAGTTAGAAAATCCACACAATGTGCTTCCAGGGCTGGAACTGCATATTTCTTAGCAGTGTAAAGAGTAGTCATAACCGTTTCTGGACCAATTTGAACTTCATCTGAGTAAAGAAACCTGGAAAACAATATACAAATATAGATAATGAAAACGCATCTTGATGTGCAGTTAAGCGTAACGTAAGAATCTCTTTGCATTTGGAAAACGGGTCAAAGATTTGCACGATGAATATGCAGCAGCTGACCACGTGACATTTTTATAAATTAGTAAGCTAATAAAACAGTTGAAGAAAGCATATTATGTTAATCTAATAGTATACATTTGTTTTAAATACATATTACTCCCTAAGACTGATCTGGCTGTACTAGTTATACATAGATACTAAAATTGTAAACAACAGCTGAGCTGCAGAATTACTTAACATACTAATGCAATCTCTCTTGATTCACTGGGAAGAACTGTATTTCCAAATATGAATTTATAATCCTCCATGGCTATATTACTGATTTTAATTTACTGAAAGTGCACACTAACTTCCCAGTCATGAGGAGAACGGCGTCAAGGACAACTACTGTGATAACGCCTTATGCCAAAGTCACCATTCCCTAGGGTATAGAGGAGAGGAAAGGGAGTAATATTCTAGCAGATGACCTTGGGTCTCCTGTTCCTGCTGCAGACTGCCATAGCAAAAAACTTTGGCTTGTCTCCACCGTTTGAAGCAACATGATTGGTTGAGGTTTTAGTGTTAACACTGAGCCAGGAGATAGAAAACTTCACCAAAACCAGGAAAAAAAAAAAATCTCTCTCCTGAGCAGCTGTTACTTGAGACTATTTTGTAGTTCTATATAGAAAGAAGAACTTTTTAAAAATAACTGCTCTTACTGATGGCATTGAAGATAGCAACCTTATCAATATTTCATCAGCTTTCAAGATAATAACCAAAAAAATCAAGAAGGTAGAGATGGAAAACAGGTTTAGAAGGGTTTTTGAAGTAATGATAAGCAGTTTGCATTTAACAGACGAAGCCTGTGAAAGTAACGAGCTTGTTGGCAACAAGGGCAGATCTAAGTAATGGAAATCTATATTTAAAGTTTCAGTTAACGTTCTTCGTTATTAATATATTTTACTTTCCTAAAAAAGAACCAGTTCTCAGTCACTGATAACCATTCATTCATGCTAATCCACAGATAAATATAGCCTTCAATGTTAAACTTGATGTCATTTACTAAGAGGTACGCATTTACCGTTACAATACTCAAATTCATTCAAATTGCTAACTTTCACATCACTTGGAAAATGTGAGTGATGCTTTAGATTAACTCTTTAAACTGAATTTACATCAAACTGCTTTTAGCAAGGAGTTTAATTAAATGCTGAAATTTTAATTAAAGTTTCATTTAGTTCATTGAGAACTAAGTTATGAAACCTATAATTAATTATTTGTTATTGATCAAAACAACGGGCTGACTTGCTAATCAATCACTGACAAGTTTACTTTCAAGAAACTAAGATCTAGTAGGTACAGTTTTCAACATGCACTTTTGAATATCGAGTCAACAAATTGTTCATTAAAGCACTAGAATAGTGCATTTAGATTTCAGTTTTAAAATGAAAAGTCTGTTTCAAGATATCCTAACCTTGTACGATTTTATATGAACTTGAAATCCCAATTATGTAAGAATTAGACATTAACAGGTTGAAAAAGAGCAGCATTACCAACCATACATTATCAGTTTTACTTAATCCTAAAAAAATACTTTCATCATGTTGTTTTCGGGAACACGATTTTAATTTTATTCCTGAAGAGCGTGCAACTTGTAGCCAATGAGCTGACCCACTATAGAAGAGCTTATCTGGCCTGTGGTTCACTTTCTATACTTTCTTGAGAGTCACAGTGCAGCTCCAAGCTATTAATTCTGGTAGCCTGTACTTTCCTAATACTTCCTTTCCCAGGAATCATGCAGGCTTTTCCCTCATACGACCAGAAGCCAATTATGTGACCAAAACAGAGGAATCCAAACGTGGCAACAGTGTATATGCATGCAAGATTTTCGTTCATGTGAGGTCTATGACCTACAGGATGCTTTTTGATCCCATGGAGAACGTACCTGAGGCTCTGTGCTCCAATCCCTCCCCTGCTGTATGAGTGGCTTTACCTTAAGGGACACTCCCCAACTGAAAGTATATGTGCCAGTGACAAAGTGACAGGACTTCAGTGGTTAAAGTTTTAAGGAAGAGCTGCACAGCATCTCAAGTCCAGCATATTGGTCTCATGATCTGTTTCTAGGAATTGATCACCAGAGGCCAGGACAACTCATAGTAATAGAACACGTGACACATTTGCATACTTCTAAAATGAGAAGACTCAGGATAGGACAAGAAGTATCCAAATACATTAGGAAAGTCACACAGTCATTTTGTTGTGTTTAATATTTCAAATTGTTGACAGTGCCAATACTCTTCTGGCATTTGCCAGAGCCAAAAAGTAGTCTTTTGCAGATACAAAAAGGTGTGAATTTGCAAAGTTCAGAGGTAGCTGAAAAAACAATTAAAAATGGTAATTAAGTAATACATTACTCCAAAATTTCATATAATACTACAGTATTTTCCTTAAGTATATGGATTGATGATCATGAGGCATTTCTCTATTCATAAAGAAGAACTCTAGGTGTGTCTTCTCTCTGGAAAAATCCCTCTGCTCGTGTGCCAGCAGCTCTCCAGGCTGTGCTGACTCTCCCATTTGTGGGAAGTGTGAATGAGCATTCTTTTATGTTTATGCTATTGTTCCTCTTCCATTCATCTTTCATGTGTACATTTAAAAACATATTTCCCCCATCTTTTTCTCTCTGCTTCCTCTTCTCCTTTCATTTAAATTTACATCCCATTTTTGCAGATCCCTCCATTCTCTCCTCCTTTGATTTCAGAGGCCAATTTTTTCTTTGCCAAGAAAGAGAAAAATAAATTAGAAGTAGTTCTCCTTGATTAGCAGACTGCTAAGATCAGTGAGGTTCAAGACCACTTCTTCTCCATTATCTCCCTCCCTCCCTCCCTCCTTCCTCCCCTTCCCCTCAGGAGTTTCAGACTCACAGGAAATAATCTGCTCTTTGGACACTGATTAATTTTATTTTCACCGGGGGGGAAGAGGAGGGTAGTGGAGGAACACTTTTAGTGGACAGAACAGTTTCCCAAGGAACCACTCAACCACTGATTTTAAATAAGCATCTCAAATTTTATGCCACTTTTCTTCACTCTCAAGTTAGCACTTCCTTCTCCCATAGCCCTAGCATCTTCCGAACAACTGAAATATTCTCACCAATATAAAAAACACAGAGATCTTTCCCAGTTAGCCGTGGTTACCCCTCTATTTACTGCTTGTCAAAATCCTCTGCTAAGACATCCAGGTTAATTTTATCCTATGTTGCCACTTCCCTGTATACTATGATCAAAGTACAAGTTAAATTACTCTAAAATGCATTTTAAAATGAGAATGAATAGAAATTAAAAAAAAACTTATTAAAAAACAAATCCAAACCCTAAAAGAGAAACACGTAACGCTAGTATGAAACTACTTTGACTTTCCAGATCTCAGCTACTCAAGTTACGCAGTTAGAAATATGCAAAAGAAGTTGACTAATTACAAATCAGAAAAAGCAGACACAAACTTTGTGGCTTTGACTTAATTTCGAGTTCTTAAGGATTTATCTGCCAAACTACTGAAGCAGTCAGCTACTTTAGAAAAACTTCTTTGGCTCATGTTTGAGAACTCTTCAGGCAAGAGGAATACCGGATGGTAAGCCAAAACACACACCACACTCGTTTTTAGGCCCCTGAGCTCAGCCAATTATTTTCTAAGAATGTTTTCTCCCCCTCCCCAGTAAGTTCCAAAAGTCTCCTCCTCTTCCATTTCTACAGTTAAGATTTTAGCCAAAATGATAGATGAGGAGGACATGCACAACTTTCTTCAGGGTAAAAAGAACCTCCAAAACTTATTACTCAGATTACAGCAGTACTATCAATTAAAGCTTTTTTCTATTATTTTTAAATATGTTAACTCTAAAAATCTGGTATTTTAGAGGCCCCTTTCCGAAAAAAGGTAGCAATTGTAGCCCCATTTTTAAATCGTGCATGAATATATCCAAAGAAAAATTGAAAAAAACAGATGTCACATGTCACGTTAACTTGGTAAATATTCGCTGTTTAAATTGTGCCATTTCTAACTGCTTGTTTCCGCCCCATAAATTTAATTCTGAAACTATGATGTATTTGGCAACAAAACACTAACACTGAGGAAAGTTTACCTCATAAGACAAGGAAATAACAGTCTCACCGGACAGATGAAGACTATCAGTTTAAGAAAAACAGAAAAATTTTCATACAAATATTTTTTGGGGCATTAAACGGCAAGTAGGATTATCTTTACCAAACATATCAACTACAGACAGGACCTAACACAATGTATGAGTAAGTAAAACAGAAACGATTTGTTGAACATTAAATAGTTAGTAAATGCCCTCTAAAAAAAATGTACATCAGTTTAATTTTTTACTTTACCTTCATGCTTTTCTGCTATGTATAGGCAAAGATCCCAATTGACCTAACTCCTAGCCAATACAGCTCTGGTTGGCCTGTGCAGAGATTAACAGAGGGTCCCACAAAAGGCTATCACCACCAGCTGGCAAATTTACTAACGATAGACAAAAGAGGATAATAATGCAAGGTAAAGTTCTTGTGCCTCTTCTGGTCAACACTGGGAAAAAACAGGTGGTCTTATAGTCAGTATAATTTAAAAATAGTGTGTACTGGTATGGGAAAAATCCAGTACTGGTCTGTATTAAAGAAGTTTTCCTCAGATGTGTTTAACATTGTGTTGCAATTTATATTTATTCCGATATAAGCTCAAAAGATACATATAATAGAGAAGAATGTCCTAAAAAAGCTGCAATGTATTTCAAACCAAAGGAGATTTCAAATCCGAGAAGCTTTATCAGTTCATCAGTCTGGTGATATTTAGACAAGATGTAAGTATAATAAGTTTATTTACGTAAGTCCCCAGGCCATTACGTACTAGCAAGCATAAGATGGCTTTTGTTTGATTGCAACAACATCTCTTCATTCAC